TGGGCTTTTTTTGAAAACCAGTGTGTCAGATGACTTCCTCCAGTTTTACAGTTTTGCTTGAAACCCTTACAAAAAAATGTTAAAAGGCTTTAAAAAAATTCAAGGGTGTCTGTTGTGGGAAATTAGTCACAAAAATCAAGAAGCTAATATAATAATGGTGAGTTGGTGATTATGTATCAAAAATGTAGAAAGCAGTTGTTTGATTATTGCTGTCCATAAGACTTCACAAATGTAAAAAAATGCTGCAGTTTGACCTATATTGAAATGACCCCAAAAAAAGCCTTATAAAAGGCTGAACTGCAGGAGATCGGTGCTACAGGAAATGGTTATGAAATCTGCTGTCATGTGTCTTCATCAGGCAGTCTGACCCATAACACCAAACATCACCCACAGACATTCTTAAACAAKCAAGATGATGCAGATATGGATTTTAATGACGTTTCTTGGTCAAGGGTGTAAGTGTTGTTTACCTTTTTCTATGTACTTTTAGTAGTTTGACAAGACGGGGGGCTGTTTTTTTATTTRATATATTTTTGTGTGTTGTAAGAGACTTTTGGGGGATTGTATATTGCAGTATATTAGCATGAAAACTATTATTTTAATTCCATCTCATGGTCTAAACACTTATTGAAAACTAACTAACTATCTTACTTTTGTTTTAGACTCACTGATTTCAGTGACCACAGGCCAACTTGGTGAATCTGTAACTTTCAAATGCTTGTTCTCGAATGAGGAGTACAGCAACACTCGAATCAAGTGGTACAAACAGACTGTTGGTGATACTCTCACATTAATAACGACGCTGATGAAAGCCACTACTGATCCAGCATTTGAACAAGGGTTTTCTCCCTCACGATTTGCTGCAAACTATGCATCGAACAAAAGCATGTTAACTATTCTGAAGACGATCAAAGAAGACGAGGCACTGTATCATTGTGCAATCTCCACCTGGAAGACAGATCAGTGGACTGGAACCTTTTTGACCTTAAAAGGTAACTCAAGTCTCTTACAGAAATAATAAGTAGAGTAGGCAAAATGCATATTACTACATCAATTTATATAATGAATGTTATTTCAAATATTAGTGCTCTCCTTTGGTTACATAATTTGTGTATGTTTTCTCTCTTTCACAGAGAAAAATACACAACCAGTAAACTATACTGTTGTTCAGTGGCCAAGAGAATCTGATCCAGTCCAGCCAGGAGACTCTGTGACTCTCCACTGTTCAATCCTCTCTGATTCTTCGACATGGTCCTGTCCAAGCGAACACAGTGTGTCCTGGTTTGGAGTTAGAAAAGATGCGTTTGATGGAAATGTTATCTACACCAACAACAAGAACGGATCTTTCAAATGTGACAGGAAACGTGATACAGCAACACCTTCGAAGAGCTGCATTTATCACTTCTCAAAAAATGTCAGCTCCTCGGACAGCGGGACRTATTACTGTGCTCTAGCCACATGTGGAGAGATCATTTTTGGAACTGGAACAAAACTTCAAATTGAGGGTAAGTATGCAG